CATCCATATATGGCTCACCACCTGGTTCAATCTAAGTTGCTCTCCACACATTATTCTAGTTGACGTATCCACACACTTGCTCCACACATTATTTAGTTGACGTATCCACACACTTGCTCCACACATTATTGTAGCTGACGTATCCATACACCCATATTCCAGCCCTTAACCAAACTTGCATTCAATTTCTTCAATATTTGCAGCAGAGATGCAGGCCTGGAAATAGGTAACCTCCGGGGACTTTTTCTGGGCTTAATTCTTTCTACAGAAATATGGCCCAATCGCCACGTCAAGTGGTTATCAATTTCCAGGGCTTAATTCTTTTCATGTAAAAATAGCTTACATACCTGATTATCAACTAACACATAGAATCACAATTAACCAAAGTCAATGCTAACACACAAAAATTAATCACACCTGAGGATGAAGAAGACATGACGCTCGAAATAAAGATAGTCTTCTACTCTCACAAAACTGGACTCAACACACTTTTAAGCTTATATTTGGATAGCAGAGACCAACATTTTTATAGTCACATAAGGCCTATTGATATCCACCTATTAGGAAAACAGTAGGTCTCTCAATAACTTATAATTAAGTGCAATAAGTCCACTACATTATTGTTTTGAATGTTTCATATAACCCACCGGTATAAAACTCCATTAACTTAATCAGTACACTTCTATCAAAATAATGATTATGTCTACTCAAATTCTTACACATACAAGAATAATTTTTCTATAAGTAAATAAGTAAATCGAATTCATGTTTTATGAAACAATAACTGGATGTAATCAATTTATATAAAACATAAGATCATGGCCTCGAATTCATCTCTAATTAAAAAGAAATTTAGTTGCACATGTTCACCATAGTTGAAAAGCAATCTAAAATAAATATTGAAACTTAAAACAAAGATAGAAATAACTCTGAAAATTCCAACAACTTCAATGGATGAATTGTAGGCGCAGCACACTTGTCAAACGTTGCAAAACACTTTATATTTATATAAGCCATGACTGAATCCAAGGAGGAAATGGATTAGGCATTTTGAATTATTTTAGGATTCTAAGAAATAGTTGGAGATTGTTGGGATGTGATTAGGATTCTTCCTTACAGGTGGAGATAAGATAAGATAATGTTTCTCTCCAACTGGGATTCCTCTTTCTTGTGCAATTCCTTGTCTTCCAAGCCTCAACGTTAATTTCTCTAGATTTTAGCACACATGTTTAACACATTTTAAATACCAAAAACATCCAGCCCATATGCTATCCACGTATGTTATCCAATTCAAGTCCAAAACTGCTCCAAATTGCTCCATTTGATCTCTAATTGTCAACTTTTCCAACTGGACCTACAATTAGGGCTAGAAAAAAAATCCCTAAAATCCCAAACCAAACCGAAAAAATCCCAATCCCAATCCAAAATTCCCGAAATTTTCGATACGGGATTCGGTTTTTCATCTCCATTTTTTCTGTATTCCCATACCGAACCGAAAATAAATATTATATATATATATAATTTTTTAATTATAAGAAAATTATTTCAACCGTTCATTGTTTTGGATTTAATCTGTGCTGTTCATTTGTTTTTAGGTTTGATCTCCCATTTCACTTCTTCCGTAATCCATTCCATCACACTCGAATCGAAGAAGCACAGCCCTGGTCCCTGAGCCTCCCTCACCGTGCCTCTCTGTGTCGAATTCCGGCCACCCACACCATACAGCCATCGCCACACCACAAAGCCACCGTCACACCACCGTGCCTCTCCAAGCATCCCTCACCGTGCCTCTCTATCTCTGACTCTCCAGCCTTCCTTCACCACACAGCCACCGCCACACCACTGCTTTCTCTATCGATCTCTCTCTCTCAGACGATTTCTCTCATAGACAGAAGTCGCAGAACTCTCGATCCTAAATTAGGTAATTAATTTGGACTGACAACTTAACATGCCTCCATAATCCGTGACTGTCAGTGCTTAGAAGAGATCAATGACCCACCCCCACTCACTCACTCTCGCCTTTTTCTTTTCATTTTTCTAAATAATGTCAACTCAAGGCTTGTTTTTTCTTGCTGCCTTGGACGTGGTTGCTAACTTGCTCCTTCCATAACCACACAATTAAACTTAGAGAAATTTGCACTTGTTTGCTCGATTATACATTTTGTTCATAAATTCATTTATGTTTTGGTTTGCTACTAGTATCTAATCAAATTTTTTTTTTTTTGGTCAGCCTTGATTGCAATGTGGTTTACCGAGTTGTTGATTTGAGGATTGAGGTAACAACTTGCACTTGTTTGCTCGATTATACATACTGTTTAGATGATTACAATTCTAAATTTTTAAGAATTGTTTAATTTTGATTAGCTGTTATATTCTGCTTATGTGTTTGAATTGTTTAATTTTTTATTGCAAGTTTTCCGAATATCTGTTTCACTGTTTGGTAATCATGCTGGGCTGATGTTTATATTGAATCTATGTTGAATTTGCTTTGATCTGGTTGACATTGATCTCTGTTTATGAGCTGATTACAATTCTAAATTTATCGCGTGTTGAAGTATCATATTTTAATATTTTATGCCGGAGACCATGCTATAAACTAAGTAGGACTAGATAGCAGTTGGAAATAGTATTTTCGATTTTGACTTCTGTTATATATTTTGAGTTCTTTTTCTCACAACCATGTATTTTCTATGTTGAATGCTTAGATGTTTGAACCATTTATTTTATTTATTGATTGGAATTTGGATATATGATGAACTGTGGTTGTTATATATTAATGTGCATTGTTATTTTATTTGTTAGGATGGACATGTCTAGTAGCCAATCTAGTACATCTATGGCCTCAATATTAGGAAAACGAAAACAAACCCAACCTAGTGGTACCCTTCAACTAGGCACTCCCTCACCTCAAGATTATTTGCATAATGATTATTATGAAGATTGCTGGGATGATGATCCAGATATGAAGGAGGATATTGCATTAGAACAAATAGAAGAAGAGGGGGAATAGAGGGAAGAGGAAGTAGAAGAAGTAGTGAGACAATGGGAGGGTCCTCCTTGGAAAAAGAGCAATAGGAGAAAGGGTCCAAGTCCGGTGTGGAATGATGCTAAGAGGGTAACGATCACCGATAATAATGGGGAGAAATCTTTCATGGCCGAATGCAAGCATTGCAAACTCTTAATACCGGCACACCTTATAATTCATGGGATGACGGGAATTCTTAAGCATTTGAGGAAATGCCCGGGTTCTAGTCTCTTTGAGAATGTGGATCCGAAGCAACCTACATTGACACAAGTGAGGATGGGAGGTCCGGTTGTCACTCACACTTTCAATCAAAAACTCACACCTTCAATCAAAAAAGACTTGATAGGAGATGTGTTAGGTGGATTATAATAGATGAGATGCCTTTTAGGGTGGTTGATCAAAAGGACTTTCGAGATTTTATTCGTGACTTGAATCCAAAGTACAAACTTCCAAATAGGCATAAGGTGGCGGTGGCGGTGGCGGTGGCGGTTTTGGAGTTGTATGTTGAAGAGAAGGCTAAAATAAAAAGTGTGATTGAGGGGTTGAGAGTGAGTATTACAACTGACACTTGGACCTCGATTCAAATGATAAACTACATGGTCATCACGGCCCATTTTTTGGACACTAATTGGGGGTTGCATAAGAGGATCCTAAACTTTGTCCAAGTTACTTCTCATAAGGGTGATGATATTGGAAGATGTCTAGAGGTTTGCTTGAATGATTGGGGCATAGACAAGGTGTTTAGCATTACCATTGACAATGCTAGTGCAAATGACACCGCTATTGCATACATGTAAAGAAGACTCAAGTCAAATGGTACTCTTTTACTTGACGAGGCTCACTTGCACATGAGGTGCGCTTGTCACATCCTCAATTTGATAGTGAAGGATGGAATGACAAAGCTTAGTTGTGAGATTGATGCCATAAGAAATTGTGTGAAGTTTATACACTCGTCCCCGGCAAGGTTGGAGTCTTTTAGGGAATATTGTGTCTTGTTGAGATTTAATAGGATGTCAAGTGTCCCTTTTGATGTTGTCACAAGGTGGAATGCCATGTATGAAATGCTTAATAGTGCTTTCAAGTTTAAAGAAGTGTTCTCTAATTATTCACACCAAGTTACTGACACCATTGCCAGGGATGGTGGTTGTGCTTAAGTATTTTAATTAGAAAGATTTACTAGGCATATTACATATCACTGGAAAGCTCTGGAAGTCTACTTTCCGACCCAAAAAGGGATTGACATTTCGAGTTTCGAGTAGGCAGATATTGTCAAAACAGTGCACTGTGGTCAAAACTAGGCGTTTTCAAAACTGTTTGGGATTTGTCTTTCCTTTTCTTTAGTATTTCTAATTCTATTTAGTTTAGTGTTTTAGCCTTTTATGTTATTTTTATTTTGAATATTTGGATGTGTCGTTAAGGTTGTTTTTCTTGTTTTGTAGACATATCAATTTCTCAAGTTTTCCTAAGGTATATGAAAGGAAGACGATCGCTCAAACTAGCACTTCTTCCTGTTGATCAAGAACTTAAGCACACTCTACACAATCTAAAGAGTCAGAAGAATCATCGAACTCTTGCAAAAGAATTAAAGATGGGTGATAGAGAAGTTGAACCTGTTAGAAGGTCTATGACGGATTCATATGAACCGCAACACTTAAATCAACCATCATGCATTGCTTTTCAGCCAAATATCAATGGGAACATGAACTTGTCACGTCAGTTATTGAATACCTTGCTTCACTTCAGTGGAGACCTGAATGAAAATCCACATCTTCATATAAAGGACTTCTTTGACATTTGCAAGACGCAAAGCATTCAAGGGCTTACTCCTAAACAAATCAGGTTGATTTTGTTTCCTTTTTTACTAAAGTCTAATGCTAAGTTGTGGATGAACTCTTTGGATGCAGGTTCTATACATTCATGGGAGCAACTCCCTATGAAGTTCTTGAAGGAAATTTTCCCAGCTCAAAAGATCAGAAAACTCAAAAGGGAAATCAAATACTTCCAACAAAAGGATGGCGATTTATTCTCTGAAGCTTGGAAAGACTTTAAGAGCCTCCTTCTCAAGTGTCCCAACCATAATCTCACAAGGGGTGAACTAGTAGAATCTTTTTATGAAGGTTTAAATAATATTAACAACAGTATGTAGATTATGTTGTTGGAGGAGTTTTGATGGATAAAAATGGAGAATAAGTTTGCAATTGTTCAAATCTCTTAGTGAGAGCTTACAACAATTCCCTACAAGGAACAAGATTGGTGGTAGTTTATGAGATCAACTCAAATGATGGCTTGCAAGTAGAGATGGAATCTATGAATTGAGATATTGCAATGCTTGTCAAGAACTTGACTCCTTAAAGCACTCAACAAGTCTATACACCCGAAATATGTGCTATATGTTCATATCTTGATCATAATATTGATTCATGTCCTTGACTTCTTTTACAGATCACAAGCATGCGAATTATGTTGGACAAAGAGGCTGTTCTTTCAAGAATAATCCATATTCAAACACGTACAATCCACCATAAAGGCTTCACCCTAACTTCAGTTAAGGGAACTCAAAATTATATTGAATCCTATGTATGGTGGTAATGTACAACCTTAAGTTTTTGGTTCAAATTCTACTCAGCAAGTTAGTGCACCTTAGGTTCCTCCAGTGTTTTCTAAGCCTAAGAAAATGTCATTCGAAGATCAGTTATCTGCTCTTATGCAAAGCCAACTCTCTTTCCAACAACAAACTTAGACCTCCATACAAAATACTCAAGCTTCTATTAAGAAGTTGGAAACTCAAGTGGGGCAACTTGCTAGTGCTTTTCATGAAAGGGAAAATGGTCAATTTCCAAGTCAGTTTATGTGGAATCCGAAGGGTGCTCAAGAACATGTCAAGTCTGTTATGACATTGCGAAATAGTAGAGTTATTGGTGACAAAGTTAATGATCCAGTCCATGTTGATGACAGTGAAGTTATTGAAGATGAAAACATGTCAAAATCAATGAAAATGGACACAATTACAGCTCCTAAAGTTGTTGGACAAACACGGGCAGTAGTTTCTCATGGCTCTCTTAGCCTAGTCATGAACTCAAAGAGCTCTCCTAGCTCTTCTATGAAGGCATATATGCCCCTTATTCCATACCCAAGGCGTTTGAAGGTCAACAAGCATTCGAATGATATCCTAAAATAGTTCAAAAAGGTGGAGATTAATATTCCTTTGCTTGATGTGATTAAACATATTTCGAGTTATGCTAAGTTCTTGAAGGACCTTTGTACCAACAAGAGGAAATTTGAGGAACATGAAAAGGTTGATGCTTTGTGAAGAGGTTAGTGTAATGATTCAGCAGAAATTACCTCCAAAGTTGAGATATCCTAGAAGCTTTACTAGCATGCACCATTAGAAAACAAAAATTTGAAAGGGCATTACTTAATCTTAGTGCCTCAATGAATCTCATGCCTTATTTTGTGTTTGGACAACTTAATATGGGCGAGCTTAAGCCTACTTTAGTGACTTTACAGCTTGCAAACAAGTTAGTTAAATATCCACAGGGAATCATTGAAGATGTGTTAGTTCAAGTTGATCGATTTGTGCTTCCCGTAGATTTCATCATTCTTGACATAGAGGATGATCCTACACCAAGTCGTGACCTTCCTTTGGTCATGGGGCATCCTTTTATGGCTACAGCAGGTACAATTATTAACATGAAGAAGGGATTGCTCATTATGACTGTTCAAGATATAATTGTGGAATTAAAAAATTTTTAAGCTACTAAAAGTCATTCTGATGCTCATGTGCTTTTCTGGGTTGATGTATTTGATCATTTAGTGAATTCTGAGTTTGTGACTAGCAATTATAAAGATCATTTTGAGGCATATTTGAATGTTCCACATGAGGAGTTTAAACTCCTAAGTGAAGTCCTTAAAGGCTCTCCTTTCAAGTTCGAGGAGCTTAGGAATAAGGTTTATAAAAGGGTTGCATATACAAGGAAAAGACCAGGGTGTTCCATTATTGTCCCATCATTCAGAAGGAGTTTGAACCAGGTATACAAGTGTTTTTGTTTAACTCCCACCTTGAACTTTTTTCCATGCAAGCTCATAACGAGTTGGTATTTAGGATGCATGGACACGAACACAGATACACACGATATGGCACGGGGGCACATCAAATTTCTAAAAATGAAGACACAATACGTTAGGGATACGACAATTAAAAATATATATAAATAAATAAATATATGTAAAACATTATAAAATAAGCATTCAAATTTTCAACAACCTTATCCAGATTAGCATTATCATACACATGATTATCAGGGTGATTTATTTTCCTAAATTAACAAACATAGAGTCAATCCACCGTAGAGACAGAGACTATTACATGAGAAATTTATGTTAACTTAAGAGATAAAAAAACACATCACGAAAGCATATACATAAAATTATTATAATCTAAATATCCAGACCATTGCACAATAGTATATTACAATATACAAAATACAATAATATTATTATATAAAAAAAGTTAAAAACAGAAAATCAAAAAGGCTCTTTTAGTTTCAGAGATGGGTTTTAGCGTTGAGGAATCAGATTAAGCTTTGAATGGAGTCATTGAATCAATAAAGTTGAGGAGTAAGATCTGGAAAGCATCGAAACTATTAACAAAGTGAAAACGAAAGCTCTTACCAGCAGTTGCAGACAAAGACGACAAAGCAGTTGCAGACGGAGACAATGGAGACGACATAGCAGTTGCAGACGACGGTTAATGGTGAAAGTCTAATTTTTTAGGTTCGAGTGAGGAAAAATAGGTAAATCCGAATTTTATACACAAAATTGTTTTGGTTTTTTTGTCAAACAATTGTTTCAGTTTAGACAACTTTAATCAATCACGATTATGTGCGGATTTATTGAAATTTTTTTTTTCCTGATTATCCTTCGATTTTAGTTTGAAACAATATCCGAAAAGTAGGATACTCGTATCTCAACAGTACGATACGCGTATCTCATCAGTCAACAACGTATCCTTTCACTCTGAAATGTATTGGGCGCGTATCTATATCCGCACGTGTCAGATACGGGATACGCCAACTTTCCTCTGTGTTCGTGGATCGTAGGTTGGTATGGTCCTTTTATGGTCAAGCAAGTGTTTCCTTATGGTGCAATCGAACTCGTGGGTGAAAAGAATGGGAGCAGTTTCAAGGTGAATGTACATAGACTCAAGCCATTTCTGGAGACTTACTTTGATGGATTTGTGGAGGGTTTTACTCTCACGGAATCCTCCTTCAACTGAAGCTTAAATGTTTGTGGGAATGTGTGGTTGAAGACCTCCAAAACTTAGTGCTACTAGAAGGCGCAAGGGAAAACATCTCTACACCCCAAGGAAGTTTTTGTCATCTATTTCTAATTTGTTTTTATTCGATTTATCTTTGTTGTTTTGAAATCTCAGTGTTGACTTGTGCATTGCATGCTTGAGTTATTTTAACACTGAAGACAATGTTTGCTTCAAGGTTTGGGTTTGGGGGGGGGGGGGCGGAGGGATGTTTAGACTTTTTGATAGTTTCATTTTTCTTGTTTTTGTTGTCGATTTTTGTCCATGTTGCTTGTATTTGCTGAAAATTTGTTTCGATTGGTAAGGAATTTGACTATTTGGCATGCCCTGTCTATTTTAGAATTTCGTAATTTGGATAAGTGGTTCAAAAGTTGTGACTAAATATTTGACAGAAGGTCAAAACTGTTAGCATCACTGTATATTTTGTTTCTTTGGTCCATTTTTAAAATTTTTACAGACCTATTGTTCAAAGTTTCACTTGTTAGTTTTCTTTGTCTCAAAAACCTTGGAATTCCACCATGTGGTTTTTAAGATAGAGAAGGAAACTCGAGCATGGGTCAGAAGCAGTGTTCAAATTGAATTGTACGGCAAGAATCTGTGTTTCAATTTTTTTTTTAAATTTCTTTTTATCATTCACATTTTTGTTTTTAAATGTTTTTGTTGAGCACTAAGTTCATAAAATTAAAAAATAAATAAAAATTTTGTTGAGTCGTTTTTAGTTAAACCTTCCATAGTCTATGATAATACTTGCTTTCCTTTTGGGGTCACATACTTATTTGAATTGGTGATGATTCTATTCTTTATTCATACTTCTTGCATGATCATTTTCTTGTGAGATTTTGAGTTTCATGCATATTTTTTCTTGAGAGTTTTGTGATTGTATTACCATTAGCTAGAACTTGCTTCAATATCTCTTGAGGCAAAATCCTAAGTCATGCAACATCAAGGAAACGATTTTGACCATGTTTGTTTTGAGCCTTTCTAACCAACTTGTTCCCTAGTTACTCTTTTGAAGCAACATACTTAGCATTTTCGTTCATCGCCCACGTTCATCCTTACCCACTTAACCTATATTAGCCTTACCTTATAGCTTGAGAGATGCCAAGATGATGATGACTGAGATAAAGGTTGAGTTCTCCAGCAAAGAAGTGGCATGTACCGAGGTACCATGTGTCATATTGTATCTTTTATTTTTCATTTTTTATTAGTCATTGTATATATATATATAAATAAAAAAATAAAAAAAAAAGGTGTCAATGAGATTAAGAAGATAAAAAGTTTGAATATATTCCATTCATATTATAAGTCCTGGACACCATGAATGGAAGATCAAGTTTCTAAAGAGGGCCGACCAATTTACATAATGAAGATATCTTGGCATTTCTAAAGTTCTAGTTCTCCTCATCCTTTCTTTCGTAGCACATACCTTAGCCTAATATTACAACCCTTGTAAAGACCAATTGATCTTTGGTGTTGCATTGATTTACATTAGTGGAGAGATGATATGAAGAGCAAGCTTATGTGTTTTATATTGCTTATCATGTTTTGAGTGAAACACTTTCCCCTGTCATGTGTGATTTCTTTGTGAGTGACATACGTGGTGGAGGATTTGACGTGGTAACTTTGTTTTATATATACCTATCTGTTTGAGTAAGTTGTATTGATATTGGTTATTTCACCCACTACACTTGAGAGTGTTGTGCAAAGTTTGGTTAATTCATTTTGACAAAATACTTATTCTTTTGAGTATGTGACTCTTTTCAATTTG